CCCCTTCCCCCGCCGGCCGCCCGCCCGCCCGCCCAAAATAGAAAGGAAAGGAAGTTATTTCCATAGTCAGTGACAGCCCGGAAAAGCTCCCCTCCAGTGAGGGGGCGGCGGGATTCCTGGAGCTGGAGAGCAAATCAAAGCGGGGCCCGAGCCAGAGTGGCCCCCACCGCCCCGCCTCGGCTGCCTTCTCAGTGTGTCATTTCCCTGATTCAGCAGAACACGTGTGCTGCGGTTGCCACGCCGCAGGCTGCCGAGGAGCTGTGGGGAGCTGCTGGCCCGGCTCCAGGCTGCCCTCAGACCCAGGAGCCCGGGGTCGTGCAGGGCGTGTGCCACCGCCACCCGGCCTTGCTGTTGGCCTCTGCCACCGTACAGACCTGCTGCTGCACACCTGCCTAGGAAGGGCGGCCCCTGAGCGCCCCTCAGAACGAGAACCCTTCCACTCGCACGTCTCCATATGCCTTTTCAGAACACTGTTCAGGACACAGTGTCAGGAGGGGTGCCCAAGCACCTTGGCAGGGAGGTAGCATTTTCTAGATGAGGAAACTGAGCCCTAGAGGGGAACAAGGTCTTACCCAAGACCACCTTGCTGGCTGCGGCTGAGTCAGAACTGGAGCCCAACTCTCTCTAGGGATCCTGGCATCCCCACATCCCCCCTCAGCAGCAAACCAGCAAAACAACATGTAGGCAGGCTGGGCTGTTGGCGGCTTATATATCCGTTCATTGGACCTTACCTGTTACTCAGCAGCATGAGCTCTGCCCTGTGCTAGGTGCCAGGGATATAAGCGTGAAAAGATACGATTTCTGCTGTCTTGAGAGGACATTCAGAAACATCTACGGATGAATCCACAACTCCCAACAAACATTAGCACCACAGTAGAGAGTTGTCTAGGTCTGGAGACCTGTGAGGGCACTGAGAGGCTGGAGAGTGACCTGAGGCTGATCAAGAAGAGTCGCCAGTGATGAGACGGAGTGCTGATGGGACAGTAATGAGATGGCCTTTGTCCTGGAGGGAAGCTCTGGGCAGGATCCGTCCTGCCGAGGACCTAGTGTGATGGGCCTGAGACCTGTGTTCGGACCTGGCTTCTCCTTCATCATTGCCATCTCCCACTCCCCAGGATCGATGTGCTGGGCTCTGGACCCCCTTCAAACCAGAGGCGCTACCGGAACTGGAACCCACCCCTGCTGGGCAACCTCCCCGATGACTTTCTCCGCATCCTGCCCCAGCAGCTGGACAGCATACAGGTAACAGGGCTGCCCCCCACCTTCCACTCCCATCTGCCTGCCTGGCATCTCTCTCTGCCTGCACAATTGGTGCCAGCCAGTTTTACTTCCTGATTTTTAAGCCCAGGCTGAGCTATTTCTGTTGTCCCGGGTTTATAGGGAAAGGATGCTGAACCAAAGGCCTCACTTCCTGTCTGGGCCTGCAGGTTTCCTGCTCTACTCAGGGAAGGTGACTGCCTGAGGAGGCTTTCTGGCTGTAGCCACCACCTCAGGCTACAGGGAGATGGGCAAGGGGCAGCCAGTGGCAGAGGGCCAGGGCATCTTCCTTCACTCCCCTGGGAAAGGGCCAGGGCAGCTTCTCCGCCCAGATGTCGGCTTGCCCCAGTGCTCCTGCAGAGGAGGGTCTCACCCTGGGGCTGCTGGTGCAGTGAGAGGTTTGAGTCTGGGCATCCATGTGTACCCCACTGAGCAGTTTGCAAATCCCTTTTCAGAACTATTCAAGTGGTAGATGAAGGGATGAGATGGTCCAAAGTGGGGAGGAAAAATAGTTTTTAAGCCCTTGCTGCTTCCCCAGCAGAGAGGGCTCTGGGCTGTTACATTGGATTTTGGCTGACCATTAGGTTGCAATAGGAGGTGTGGGCCTCAGGGTGGCCTGGAGGGTCCTGGGAAATGGCGTGTGTCTACGCAGATGTGCATGGAGTTTGTGCAACACGTGCCTTGGTGAGTAGGCATTCAACATGCTCGTTCCTCTCCTCAGGGTAATCCTGGGGTTCCCAAGCCTGTGAGTGGAGAGGGAGGCCCGCCTCCCACGGCCGGGCAGGGGACCCGTGACCAGGAGAGCCGCTGGAAGCAGTACCTGGAGGATGAGAGGATCGCGCTCTTCCTGCAGAATGAGGAGTTCATGAAGGAGCTGCAGCGCAACCGCGACTTCCTCCTTGCCCTGGAGAGAGGTGGGCATCAGCGGGGCGCTGCAGTCACTCCTCTGTGGCTAAAGAAGGGCTTTAGCCTTGGGGTTCAGGAGAGCACTGAGCTAGAAGCCAGGGTGCCAGGCACTTTTTGCACTGCAAAGGCACAGCCCCCACCAGGTTATCCTGTGGGAGCCCCAGAATTCTGCCACTGGGGACCTGGGTCACCAACCACTCCTTCTCCCTCCCTGGGACTTAGAGGAAGAGGGGTGTGCCCACTCAGGCCCGCTTCTTCCCCCTGAACACCTGCTGTGTGCCAGGCACTGGCCTTGGCATGGGAGGCAGGCATAAGAGAGTGCTGCCCTTCCTCATGGAGCATTAGCCACAAGGCAGGCAGACATGATGTGTCTGGAGCCTCCGGAACAGAGTGACTGGGTGCATGGGCACTGGAACGGGGGAGGCTCCCAGAATGGAGGACGTTAGAGCACAGGCTCGCAAGTTTTTTTGGTGTTCGGGTTGTCCTGGGGTGGGGGACTCTGCTGCCCAAGCTGGTGCCTTTCCCCTTCAGGGTGAGAGTGTATTTGGGGTGATGTAGGCGAGAGAGTGTGGAGGTGTGTCTTCTGAGGGTCACAGGGTGAGAGCACGTGCGTGTGTGTGTGTGTGTGTGTGTGTGTGTGTCAGTGGGGGAGGAGCAAGCTGTGCAGGGAGAGTGCTGGGCTGAGACAGGAGTCCAAGACTGGCCCTGGCTTGGCTCAGCAGCAAAGGTGCTGGAGGTCTCAGCCCTTTCCTTTTAAATTACGGGGGTGGACTCTATGATCCCTCAGGGTCCTTCTAATTCTGCCACTCTAATATTCCAGACGGTTGTCAGGCAGTAGTTTCTGTGTTCTTGCGGGGTCTCTGAGAGCTGGTAGTCACTGTGCACACATACAGTATCGTGTGTGCACACTCCCATGTGACTCTGGGAGTTCCACCTCCAACAACCTCCTGCGTCTCAGCCCAGCCTGCCGCTGGGAACCCAGGAGCTGACTGGAATGTGGTCCTTTTCCAGATCGATTGAAATATGAGTCCCAGAAATCCAAATCCAGCAGCGTGGCTGTCGGAAACGGCTTTGGCTTTCCTTGTCCTGTGCCAGGTAACCTTGCCTTTCTGCAAGAGAAGCCCGGAGAGTATAAGGGGCTCACACCCTAACTTTGCTTTGTGTATTTGGAGCTTGGGGGTAGGGTGAGGAAACAGACTGCGGGTGGGGGCCTGGGGCCTCTCAGCAGGCTGGAGGGGATGCTTCTGTCCCCACCTCCACATCCACCATGGTGTCCCCTTAGCTGCCGTGGGTTCTTCCCAATCCAGCGGCTGCTGGGGGTTCTGAGCTGCAGTCGGCCAACACCGGCTGGCTGAACTCCCAAGCTGTGCCTGGAGCACAGGCTACATGGGGACACACCACACCACATACTGTCCCATGGTGGAAAATGGGACGGGAAGGACTCAGAGACTCAGAAGGCTTGCTCTCTGCCCTGGGGGAGCTTACAGGCTCGTAAGGAGATATGTCCAAGAAGCAGGCAGAGCAAGCGGGCGAAGCTGAGGACATGCTTGTCTTTCATAGCAAATGCGTGGAGAAGGGGAGGGCAGGATGAACCCGGGAAGTGTCTGTTCATTCATTCCTCCGTTAAGTAGCTGGAGGGTATCTGCCCTGTGCCAAGCCCTGCCCTAGGTGTTGGAGGAAGAGAAAATTCGAGCTTTGTGTACAAGGTGGTGAGAAGCAAGAATTGCATCAGAAGAGGGTCACCCTCACCCCCCTGCCTTCCCACGTGGGAGCCCTAGCTAAAGGGGGACCAGAGGGTGGGCAGCTGTGTTGTCGTGATGCAGGAGGCCCCAGTTTCACGCTCTGGACTCTGTGTCTGTGCACGCAGTGGCACAGCTGCCTGCCTCCGAGAAAGGCTCAGCAGCTTTTGCCTGAAACAGACCTTACATCCTTCGGTGGGGTGGGCGTGGGGAGAAGGACGGGGAGCTCAGCTGACCCCAGCTCAGAGAGAGAAAATCCCGTGGAACCGATTCATAAGCAAGGGGCCGGGCCGGGGAGCTTAGGCACCACCAGATGCGCAGTGGGAGTTTTAACAGGAGCCTCTTGTCCTTGATCCTGAATTAACTAGACACTAGGGCTGCTGAGATGGATAAAATGACCCAATGG